GAAGATGCCAAAAGGGATTTTCGAAGAGGTAGAGAGGGAAAGGGAAAAATAGATGGATAGAGAGAGAGATATATATATAGTGGGGAAGGGATATGCAGAGAGAGGGAAATATAGGGAGAAAAGTATATACAGAGTGAGAGAGAGAGAGAGAGATATCAGGGAAGGGATATACAGAAAGAAGGGATAGGAAGAAAGGTAAGAGAATAACAGAGAGCTGGTAAGGAAGGGATGTACAGAGAGAGAGAGGGTGAGAGAGATAGGGAGAGAGAAAAAGAGAGAGAGAGAAAAAGTGATAGTGAGAGAGAGATAGAGACAGAGGTAGAGTGAGATAGAGATAGAGAGAAAGAGGTAGAATGAGAGTGAGAGTGAGAGAGAGATAGAGAGAGGTATGTAGAGGTATAGGTTTATAGAGATGTAGAGAAGAAATATACAGATAGTGAGAGAGAAAGAGAGAACGAAAGAAACAGACGTATCGAATGAAGTGAGGAAAGAGAAAACGATACGCGAATGTGACAGCTCGCTATATAATAACCTTCAAGTTAGGTGAGAAGGAAAGAGATGGAGCATAAAAGGAAATAAGTCTTCTTTCACTTTTCAGCCAGTAGATTCTCTGCAGTCTATGAAAGGTTTTTAGAATGCTGCAAAGACAAACCAATTCATTAATGTCTTTGCTTACTCAGCTTGAAAAAGAATGGACAACCAATTAAATTATTCACGCGTAGATCATCCTCGTAGAAACATCCTCAATTCTACATCTGAATCGATCAGGTGTAGAGCTCACCGAATTTGAGTTGGCGAAACGCATCAAGAGCGAACAAATTGTATCGATTCAGAGCTAATGCTGAATATTTATGAACGATGCTCGGCATTAGCAATGATTCATTCAGCAATCGATAATGCGAGCGAAGTAATTGAAAAGGCACATAGAACTGCCGTTAGGTAGGCAATTGCTTAGCCACATAATTTGCATGTAATTATCATGTAATGCCGTTGCTCACGAGTTTAGCTATTAATAAAATCAAAAAAACGTGTGGCCAACATCTCGGCTACGTAATTTGATTCAAACCTGCACATATGCAAATTGAAGAGGCCCCCAGCACGTGAGCTGGCAATAGCTATAAAGGTCTCTCTCGCTCTCACACACACTCAACTCATTTGATTTAAGTTCGAGTTCAGTGGGCCATTCGTATTGCATATAGAGAGTGACGCTTGAATCACACACTTAATCAAATTTGCATTTTGAGATTTTTTTTTTTTTTTTTTTTTTGATGTAAACGAACTTTTTAATGCAGTCACAACTAAATCTGATCGTAATAGTTCATAATTGATTCCCAGCCCGATAGGAGCGATGTGTTAATTGTGAATATACATATTTACATAGTAAATATATATATATATATATATATAGATACATAGAAGTATATACGTAGATATATCTCATGCTTATATTATATTTGACGCCTGGCACACAAAAAGCATTTCTATTGAAATTTCTGTGTATGTGTGTGACTTTTTTTTGGCAGCTCTGTTTGATTATTTCATTCCATATTCACTTAACTTTATTGCAATTTATTTGACAACAAGTTTTTGACAATTTGCTCATTTACTTACTATATGACACCCAAAAAACAAAGCTACTAAGAAAACTGAAGGAGTCGAGTCCAAACGACTTACTAATACTCTGTTTGCAGTTGCAATTAGCAATAGAAATCGAATCCATTTTGTTTGCCAACTATAAAACTAAATCTATTTATTGATGGAGCTGTGAAACTGTCTGCAATATTATGATTTTTGTTATACTAGAGCTATGTCATAGAGCTAAGCAAAAGTTGAACCAAGGTTGAAGTTGCCCAGCACTGAATTTTGCTAGCCACACAACTGTATAGAAATTCAATGAAATCTCTTTAGATATGGCATTGAAGTAATCCATTTAGAAAGCCAATATTCTCATATAAGTAATCTATTTTGAAATTTAATATCCTTCCATTTGATATATCAAAGAAATTATGTACTAAAGCCAATGGAAAAAAAAAACTAATCTATATAGAAAACCAATATGCTCGTCTTTCATATATTACAGTGGAAGTCCTTAAAATCTTAGTTTAGATACATTTATCTGTATATAATGTCAATATACCTATTTGCATACAGCTACGAATTAATCTATTTAGAAAGTCCGTAGACTCCCTCTTGACAGGGAAATTTTTTAACCATGACGAATGACGCAGGTGAAACCGTTGGAAATTCTCAGACATTGGCTGTTATTTATTCGACGTTTATTATATTTGTTCAATTTGATTAATTTATGACAGATTTTTATTAATTTTAATAAATGAACCGACAAGAGGAAGCCGAATCGGTTACGAATAAAATACAATAAACCAACAACAAATTTGTTGGCCCTAAAGTGTTTGGCATTAACGACGTCATCGGTCTGAGAAAAAGTGTTAAATGCAGCAAAATACGTATGCCTATACAAATATGCGTAAGAATATATGTATATATATATATATATATATATATATCGGTGTATATATCTGTTTCAGCAGAAATTTGATTAAAAAATAAAACCGAACTGGAACTGTAGCAAAAGTCATTCAACTTGACTAAAAAACCGGAGAAGAAAAACAGTCGCTTTCAGGTGAAATATACATATTTTAATGCATATATACATATTTTAATATATATAGATATAGATATATATATGCATAAATACATTGTAAAGGGTCATCAATCCATCAAGGTTCATTATTTCGTCACAAATATTACGACTTCGGCTATGGCTTATGGCTATGAATTAAGATCTTATTATTTACGATCGGACAGGTGTCGACGCAAATAACATAAGTTTTAATAATTTATGGGAAAAACTTCGTAATTATATATTTATATAGGAAGTTAAATGGGTAAAAATCAGAAATATAGATATATATATATATATAATATATATATGTATATATATATATAAAATACGAATTCTCTATTACATCACTCTTTGCAGTCAGTCCAGAGCAAAACTAGTATATCTAGCCAAATCTCGACTCATTATATAAGAAAGAAAAACTGATCTAATCGTTACATAACTTAATAATTACTGCTTGTCAGCTAGTACATCATATTGAAAGTATGAATTTTGCAAGCGAATATACGATTTCCAAGGAAAAGCCCTAATTTTAGCGAAACTAACTTTAGCTTAAGAAATTAGGTATTTTAGCATGTAGCCGTGATTGTGGATTTTTTTTAAATATAATTAAGATACAAAATTTATTCTTGACTAACACTGCAAGCGCTTAGATCGAAGTTGGAAGTAAGGAAAATTATAATTATGAAAATGGCATCAGAGTTATTCCAGGTTTGAATCAAAAGAATAAAGAAGATGAACATGATGCTGGAGCAACTTGTCCTTCAATTTAGCTGAAGAATATATGCATATATACTCTATAGAGTCTAGAGGGAGAGAAAAAGCAAAGATCAATACTGCTGAATAGATCTATGTGACAAACAGCTGAGACTTGCCTCTAAGAGGAGAGAGAGAGAGAGAGAGAGAGAGAGAGAGAGAGAAAAGAGACAGAGAGAAAAGAGCCTTCAAAACTGTGATTCGAATCTCTGCGAGTGAATCTCAGTTTGTATCTGGGGATAGCCTCATTAGCCACACGCAGCAGCTCAACAAAGAAAATATAATAATGAGAAATTGCACACAAAAGCAAACAGCTGACATTAGATTCTGCCTTTTTTTTTTTTAATTTTTTTTTTCAGTTTTTTCGTTGTTTTCAGTTGGGCTGAAACAGTTCACTTAGCGAAACTGATGATAGAGGCCAAAAAGCCAAAGGTCGACCAACTAAATACCCTAAAAGCCAGAGCAAGGATACTGAGATATTATATAGATATATTGAGATCTACATAGATATATATTTCTATTTAATCAAGCAATTGCAACTTGTGCCTGTTCATGATGGCTAACTGATTATGTTTATAGCAGCGAATTGTCTTTAGGGCAAGCGCAACAAGCAACAGCAACAATAAACAACAACAACAACAGCAAACAAGCAACAGACTAACAAACACGAATGCAATTTGGCCGTGAAAACGAAATGCCAGCAACATAAATTATTATTATTTGTATATTGTATTGAATAATGTTTTTTATTTATTTATTTTTTTTGTCTGGCAAATTAATATTAACTATGCATTAATTAAATGCTTTTGTTGTGTATATTTATTTTCATTATGTTTTTTTTTTTGCCTTTCGATTCGTTTGACTTGGGCTTTGGCCAGCGCTCGAAATGGTTCCGAAATCGCGTCGAACCATTAAAAAAGTTTTTAATTTTAATAATTAATAACTGTTTGGTTGTTGTTGCTGCTGTTGTTGTTAACCAACAAGCGAATTGCTTTGGAGTGCATTATGTTCAATGTTTTAATTGCTTTTTTTTTTTTCTTGCTGCTGATTTCGTATTGTTTTTTAATTTTATTGCATGCGAATTTACATTTATTATTTATAGAATTTATAAGAATTGTATTTATTTATTTATTTTGTTTTTTACGTTTTTTTCTTGATCATATTTACAAGTTCAAGTTGCAGTTTGCTTAAGGCCAAGCGAAGGTAAGTGGAGCGAACGAAAAAACAATTCGAAAAGTAACAGCAAAAGGAGAGAGAAACATTTAACAATTCCCTAGTTATAAATTCGATTATTCTCTAGCGTATGTAATTGTCTCTTAAAATATTCCCATTCTTTTGTGTGTTGTCAAACGATCGATCCAACTACGTTTACATTAGCCTATATATCAGACCATATACTACTATACTATATATATATATATATATATATATATACTGTTCGACACATGTTTAATTCAGCTTAGATCTGTCCATTGATTTCCGCCTGCCTAATGCATTACTCTGCTGCTATCTAAAACGGCAATTTTCTTTCGTATTTTAATGTTTTTCCAAATTTTCTTTTCATCTTGTTGTTTTTTTATTTTGTTTTTTATATAGGGCTTACTTTTGCTTTAAAAAAACTTCACAGTGACACTCAGCTTACACTTTGTTGGTGTTGGTTTTGGTTTTTGTTTTTTCTTTTTTCGGCACTAAATTTTGAAAAAAAAAAAAAAGTTTATTTATGGCGAGTGTTTTTTAGTGCACTTTTTTCGGCTTTCTTGATTTATTTAACTATTTATTTATTACTTTTTTGGTTCCTTTTTTTTTTGTCACAAACAAAAACAACAAAAAACACTATACAAGTCGTGACAAAAGGGTCTGCCGCGTCGCTTCCGTAGCTATTTAAGTTCTCTATTTTATTTTTTCGTATATTATTTATAATTTTTTATTATTTAATTGGACTTTCTTGTTATTATTATTTTGTTTGCTTGTTTTTTTTTTTTTTTGGCGACGTCGTCTGCACCGTACGCCGGGATATTATACACTGAATGTCCAAAGACGGCAAACACTTGTTATTATAACGCGTCAAAGCGTTTCATTAAGCGTCGCAGCGACGCCAGCAGAGAGGCAGCGTCAACAACGACGGCGGCGGCGACGGCAACAGAGCGTGCGCTTAGCTGCTAAAGCAGCGCCACGATCTGGCCGAATCAATAAGCCAAACGAGCGACTAAACGCTCGACAGCCCCGCGACGCTGCTGGGCTAAACTTCGAGCCTCCCGACCAGCGACGTTGACAACGACGCCGGAGCCTGTTGATAAGCCAGCTACGACTCGCTATTAGCGGCAGCGATAACAGCGTCGTTGTCGTTGTCGTTGTCGTTGTCGTTGGCATCTTCGTCTTCGTCATCATTTTTGTTGCGAGCTGATTTTGTTATCAATTGAAATCAAGTTCAGTTGTCGATAGCCAGAGCCGAAGTCGAATCGCGCGCAAAGTAGTCCAAACAAAAACAAGTAAGAAGGCTCTAGTCGAGACTGCTCGACTAGGAGATACCCTGAACCCTCTAAGCTGATATTCTAATCATTCTGCACTTTTATGCACACATACATACACATGCATCCACACGCACGCATAAGCCTGCGCTCTGCTAACTGCGCAGTAAGCAGCGACTGCGCTTGGGCTGCGCTGCAATGTGGGCAATATTATGACAATTTATTTGTTGAATAATTTCTTTTGTAGACATACGATCTTAATGAAAATTTTAGAGTGTAATCATATGGTAAATATGTGTGTACATTCCAAAGCACAAGTCTCTAGTACTTGAAATGCCTTTTTTACAAATTGGAGGCGAAGGGGGCGTAGTATCCAAAATCTGTAAATTACAAAATCTTCATATCCATTAACTTTATATACAACCCAAATTTGAAGACTCCAGGTCTAAAAATGTTCAAATTAGGCTGAAAAAACAAAATTAATTTTTCGATTATTCTCGATAAAAAAGTTATCGGACGATTTATCGAAAAAATAAAGCAAACTCGTACTGCGTATGGTACACACGAGTATGCATGCCAAATTTCAGCTCTCTAGCTCTTATAACTTCTGAGATCGACGCACTCATACGGACGGACGGACGGACAGACGGACAGGGCTATATCGACTCAGCTCGTCGCGCTGATCAAGAATATATATACTTTGTGGGGTCTGCCACGCCTCCTTCTGCCCGTTACATACTTTTTCACAAAACCATTATACCCTGATTTCCCATTTTCAATGGGTTCAGGGTATAACAAAAACAAAATACCAGAAAAAAAAAACCCCATGCCTGTCGAAGATCAATGAATGAAAATGCTGCCAACGTTGGCAGCGGCAGCGGCAGCGACGCACACACACCGTTAGAACGCACGATTTATGCCAGCTGCTTGCGGCTCGGCAGGTCTCGACTCAGCTCGGAGCAATTCGATTCGATTCGATTCGCTTCGGCTCGGCTCGACTCGATGCACTTCGGCTCGGCTTGGCTTAGCATAGCTTCTCAGCTTTGACAAGCGTCAGTGCTTTGACAGTTAGTTGGCTCATTACTCAATATTAACTGCCAGCTCGAATGGGCCGGCGCACGGGGCGTATGCTTAATGCGAAAGAGTTACGAACACCAGGCCCCGTTATGCACGAGAATAGCAACAAGTCAACGCTATTTACAATTGCAAATAGATTTCATGATTTCGCGAATTTAACGATCACATTTTTCAAACCCCCGATTCTGGGTCGCTGTTTTTTTTATATTTTTTTTTTGTTAAATTGTTTTGGTCAGGATTTGCGGCACTTTTTACCCATTTGCCTTGAGGGAGCTACATTAATTTCAGCTAATTTTCTGATTTGACACGATTCATGCATTCGGAATACAATTAAAACGGTTCAAATCGAAATTCAAATTTTTTAGTAATATTTATTATTATTATTGTTTTCTAAAATATTCCACGAGCTACATTTAAAGCAAACAAGTAAGAGCGTTGCAGCTGGGCATTACCGACTGCAGAATACTCATTCCCGATCCAAACGAATTTAGATCTACGTTCCGATTTGCCACGCCTACAGTTAGTATAAATATGTATAAATAGGTTTCAAGCAAATCAATTGCGGATGTTAGGCAATAGCTTAGCCGTTAATTTTTTTACCCAATTTATATGTTCGCCATATATTTTTGAGCCTGTGTTGTCAACGAAACGAAATATTCCAACGAAATACCTTGCAAAGTTCAAGGGAAGACATTGCACAAACCCAATATACTCATTTCACTCTCGTGAATGAGCATAACAACAAACCAGGTCTGCCAAGCGTCTCTTAAGTATGTATATAGGTAAATCCGCAGATCAATCGCAAGTTTCGCCGATGGTAAAAAAAAAAAACACGGAAAGCATTTTAGCTTTTAACACAAAATGACGCACTACGACTACGACACACTCTATGTGTTTAACAATTGAACTAAGCATAATGCCATAGAGATAAATGGATATAAATACATATAATTTTTTATTTATATACATACGTAAAAACGTGTACAATCGTTGCCAAAAAAAAAAAAAAAAAAAAGATGTGGAGAAAAAAGAGAGAGAGAAAACCACAAATAAACAGGTTTATCCGCATCCGGATAATTGATATAAAAATGTTGACGATGATCGCCCATTTCTCTAGCCATCTCGCTTGCACACACCAAACGCCCCGTGGCAATTATATATATATACAATACGAATATTTATTTATATATATACTATTTTGGTCAATTCGAAAACATCTTAAGAACGGATTGGTGCAGGATGTAGTCTGAAGAGTTTTGGCCAAATTGTATGGGAACACACTCGAGGTAAATTGTGAAGTGGCCCAAACAACTCGTAGACCCATAAATAAATATTTATAAATAAATGTTACGATAATAAGGCAATCAACAAGATCAACAGCTAACAAATGATCAAACAATTGTTTCTAATTATGGCGAGTCTCAAATCAAATATTGACGGAAAGTCCAAAAATATGAATACCAAATAATAATGAAATTAAAAATATATTTTGAAATGTTTAATTTAATGTTTTGATTTAATAAATATATCATTTACCATATATGTATATTATAAACCTTTGATCTATTTCAACTTACAGACATTATTTCAATTTTGTCTAGGGGCAATGAACTTGGAACTTGGTTTGAGTGAGAATTTTAGACATCCTTATACATATAATAAGATTTAACTATAGTCATTAAAAAACACTTAACGTAGACATTAAGAGAATCTGAGTTAATCAGTAAGCAAAACATGAACAAATCGCGCAGGGTTCCGGGTACGAAACTTGGCTTAAACGATATCACCGCTCAGCTATTGGCTAAGATAACCAGAGCCGTTTGCTCGTGACTAAGTTTTATATAATTAAAGTTGGCAATAAAAACACACGGCCTGGACATTAAACTGCTCGAAATAGGATTTATTACAAGTACTACCGGTATTTCCGATAACTTTTCCGGAATTCAAATCGATATCAAACATAAGATATTTGAGCATACCTTGAGGTTAAGGCAATTCTTAAAGGTTCGCCAAAGGTTTACAAATATATCAAATAACTAAAATAACTTCCCCCATCAAAGTGATTTCAGATCTCAAGGTATTTCCTAGCCGGACAAGCCCGATTCCTACAAATGCACTTAATTAAATATTGAGTACATATACTAGTAGGTATCGAATTGACAATAAACAATGTCTGGTGACAGTTTGATGATGCCATACCCGAATAGATGGAAATACGAAAAAGTTTTGTGTTTGGGAAGTCCATTTAGCAGATGTTAAGAATACTATTTTCGAGTGCGGGAAACATAGGGAATAAAGATGCATGAGCAGATATGTTACGCATGAGTCATGACTGGCTGATCAATTGGTAAGGATGGGGTCTATATCGCGATCGCGATTGTTACTGTGTTCGTGCGATGGCAATTGCGAAAAATAACCCGAGTGGGGGAACTTTTCGTTTCGTACGTTGCACAGATAATGGATACGACGGGCGCGACACTTGTCTGTACTTTCTTAATAACCCTAGAGGAGGCGTTGAGGTCTCGGCGATTGCGGAAACAGTTGGGAAATGCACAAAGCCAACTTGCGTGCACTCATATTAGCGCTTATCAGACAGGTGAGGAAACGGTGGGATGGGGTGCATTGGAGAGCTGTCTCATAAGAGACAAAAGCCTCAATGGGGGCGGGGACTAACACGCGGTACGTGTGTGAATGTTATGGTATTTTTTAAAGTGTCTTACTCGAGCGACTTGTAGTTAGTCGTATTTGCTTATCGTCAGACAATTGGCAATTGCAAACACGGGGCGAGAGACATAGAGGGACAGAGAGAGAGAGAGAGAGAGGGCGTTCAATCAAATTGTTGGATAATGGTCAGTCAACTACCGGTAAATGGCGATTGCTTTTTGATGCCGCGTCAAGTCAATGTCTACAAACGATCAATTGGAAATTATTTTGTATTCAGAGAAGGAGGGAGAGAGAGATGGGGGTACGACGAGCTCTACCTTCAACTTGAACTTGCAACTGATGCTTAGATTATAAGCGAATATTATTGCTGATACGATACCCATCCCTCTCACTGGCTATACACACGCTATCAAAAATTAGCAGGTTCAATTGCTACATGCATTATAACAACCTACACCTCACTCACTCACTCGCCCACACGGCCCATCCAGCCGCCCCTCGCTGGCCCACGGCAATTAGACACATGTAATGGGCTTAACTGCATTTCGTAAATACGAAAATGACCAACAAAACCCTGACTATTCAAAATATGTTTATGGCATATCATATCAGAGACTCGTATGCTCTTTAAACAACGATCGAAGGTCAAAGGCAATCTTGGAGCATCGACCAAGGAATTTTTGAATGTCATCCAATGTGCCCTACCACTCCGAAATTTTTTTTTTTTTTAAATCGAAAAAAAAACTCAAGTGGCAATCAGCGTCGCGCCTGTCACTTTCTATTGTGGCTATCTAATCGGCTTTCTATATCTTTAATTCCAACTATTGGTATTCCAATGTAGCACCACGTGTATCACAGCGAAATCTCTGATTTTCATTTTATTTAGTTCGAATGTTAAAAAGTTTATATCAATCGCTTTGTAAACAACTATAGCAATAGCTACTAAACGTTCTTATCATATCTTTTATAAAGATTTGCGTCTGTAGTTGAGCATTTATGGACTGAGTAAGTGATTATTACATTGTTTTTCCTCTTTTTTGTGTAGTTTGTTATTGTTATTAACTTTTGCCTCTATCAAAGGCACGTGACAGATTTAATGCAATAACAAAATATTTGGCATGGCTTTAACAAATTTATAATGCTAATAAATCTATATTTTTTTAAATATCTGAACAAAAAATCTTTATATTTTACATCATTACTCAACTTATAATTTCATTTTTTGATCAACAAATATTAAAATTGGCTTCAAATGCGTCATGGACACGGCATAAAATCAAAAGGAACTAATTAAATTTTTAAAAAAGAAATGCTTTCTTATCCTTCGTAAAGT